AAAAAAAACAAAACACTGAAATCTTTTATGAGTTCTAGGAAAAGTATTCTTTCCTGTATATAAGTTTTTCAAAAAATTGTAACTAATTTGGGAGTCTTAACACAATCAGACTTAATTCAGTCCTCAGAATTATTTTATCCGAGTGGGTTTTAAATTAGTTTGTGAGCAAAAGCTGTAATGACATTTGAAATTTACATCTGTATAAGTTAAAAAAAATTATATTCAGACAGAGGGACAAATTAGAAGAAATCTTGAGAGGATTAACTCCGAGGAAAAATGATATTGGCGATGCAATGGTTTTCTGTCTTAATAATGCTGAAGCTGCTGAAGAAATAGTGGATTGCATTACTGAATCATTGTCAATCTTAAAAACACCTCTTCCTAAAAAGGTATGGAAGTGATTTCTCTTTATGAATGTTTAATTAAGAAAAGGAGCGATAATAGTTGACATATTTTGGGGTTGGAATTGGTTTCCTATTTGCACGAAGAATTTGAGTGACAAAATCTCTCCTATGTAGTCTTATTTTTCTTCCACCTGGGAAACTATGTTCATTGACATACAAGTTAATCAACAAGGGGAAATGTAAATGAGTTAAATTTTATTCCTGCCAAAGTCATGGTTGTGGTGATGTTGAAGTTTACATGACTCTTCCAATTAGTAGCAACTATTCAGCTATAGGTAATTATTAGCCTTATGCCACTGATTCCAAGAAATGACAATATAGAATTTTTTTCTAGATATATTGTTGGCTAATAGTTTTTATTTTTAATCCATTTTGTGTTATCTTTTGGTATTATAGATTGCCAGATTGTATTTGGTTTCTGATGTTTTGTACAATTCTTCAGCCAAAGTTGCCAATGCTTCATATTATAGAAAATTGTAAGTATAATGATGTAAGTTGATATTCTTGAAATACTTAAGGGTAAGGAATTCAGAAAAGAGGATTGTTTTATTAACACCCTTTATTAATAAGAATACTTTGAATTTTTTCATAGTTTGTAGAATTAAAAAAAAAAAAAAAAAGGCCTAGAACAGCTCCTTCACTGTGATTCACGCCCTCAACACAAGGGTTTGTTAAAGTGAAAAGAATAATCAGTAAAAAGATAGAGGGAAAAAAAAACAAAACCAAAACAAAAAAATAAAAAAATTGACTTGCATTCATTGAACTAAAGCACTGTGTGCTAAATTATCTGTTTTTTGGAAAGTTTTTATCTCATTAATTTCTTCGTTGTTTGACAATGGAACAAATATAGGTGGAGTTAAAAAAAAAAAAAAACTTTCTTGCATATACTTGTACAATAAATAAACTGAAACAATACAAATAATGGCAAATGTAAGAGACCAGAGATACATTAACTACTTATAGACTCTTATGTTCTCTTCTAATCATCCTTGTATCAATTGTAGTTCATTGTTAATGTTTTCTAAGGCAATAGAAAATTATGTTGCTATACTGTGATTAATATTTTCATTCATTGCTTGGTATCCCTGGGGGATTGGTTCCAGGATCTCCCAGGACACCAAAAGCTACAGATCCTAGATTACCCTATATAAAATAAAACAGTGTAGTATTTGCATATAACCTATGCGCATCCTCTCATATACTTTAAATCATCTCTAAATTATTTGTAATGCCTAATACAGTGTAAATACTATGTAAGTAGTTGTTATACTGTATTTTTTAATTATTTTTATTCATTTATTTTCCTGAATATTTTAGATTTGAGGTTGGTTGAGTCCATGGATATGGAGGGCGAACTGTAACTTCCTCATTTCCCTAGAGTTCTCTTTATGTGTTTATTTTATGAATTAGGCTCAGGGAAACTTTTTCCCTAGGAATTGACTCTGAAAAGAAATTGAGAGACATGGGTTCTACTTTTAGCTCTGCTATTAGTTTTTTTTCCTTGGTCAAGTCACTTTTCAAAGTTTTCTCTTTTATAAAATGGAGAAATTGGACAAGATGGCTCAAGGTTTCCTAGATATAGAGTTTCTTGCTAATAGAGGAATCTAGTACTTAAGACTTTTTTGGAATTTGAAGGAGAAAAATTCGGAATAAGAGGAGTTAAAGCAATTTAGTTATGATTTTAGAGTTTGAACACGTACTTCTTGATTTTAGGAATTTCTTAATTAATTTACTTATAAATGTTTAAGTCCAGGAGGGGTTTTCATTGGCTAGCATACTGAAGGGGATACAGATTCCTGAACATTTTATTTTAAAGAATGTGTTATTTGAATTTCAGTTTTGAAACAAAGTTATGTCAGATATTCATTTATTTTCCTGAATATTTTAGATTTGAGGTTGGTTGAGTCCATGGATATGGAGGGCCAACTGTAACTTCCTCATTTCCCTAGAGTTCTCTTTATGTGTTTATTTTATGAATTAGGCTCAGGGAAACTTTTTCCCTAGGAATTGACTCTGAAAAGAAATTGAGAGACATGGGTTCTACTTTTAGCTCTGCTATTAGTTTTTTTTCCTTGGTCAAGTCACTTTTCAAAGTTTTCTCTTTTATAAAATGGAGAAATTGGACAAGATGGCTCAAGGTTTCCTAGATATAGAGTTTCTTGCTAATAGAGGAATCTAGTACTTAAGACTTTTTTGGAATTTGAAGGAGAAAAATTCGGAATAAGAGGAGTTAAAGCAATTTAGTTATGATTTTAGAGTTTGAACACGTACTTCTTGATTTTAGGAATTTCTTAATTAATTTACTTATAAATGTTTAAGTCCAGGAGGGGTTTTCATTGGCTAGCATACTGAAGGGGATACAGATTCCTGAACATTTTATTTTAAAGAATGTGTTATTTGAATTTCAGTTTTGAAACAAAGTTATGTCAGATATTTTCAGACCTCAATGCTACCTATCGTACAATTCAAGGCCATTTACAATCTGAAAACTTTAAGGTATGTGTATTGTTTTATTATTTTTGTTATAAATGGGTAGGGGAGGCATTGAAGAGCAAGAAAAGTATGTAAGACATAAGATACAAATTGAAAACTGGATATTTTAGAAGTTACTCTTTAAAAAAATTCTACTGCCATTTTACCTTCATAATAAAAAAATGTCCAAAATTTTAAAATAATTAGTGTTATTTTGTCAAGTGTTTTAGTTTTAAGTGCTAATTATTAAAATATTTTAAGTATTAGACTTTTTTCACAAAACATTCAGATCACTTGTTTTGTGATAATATATATAATTTGGTTGGATTAGGGAACATATGTTTAGTTATTCATGTTTGGAAAGTATATTTTGTTACTAATTTTTTACTATCTCTTAAGCTGTAGACCAATAGTAAGAAAATGCAAACAAAATACCTTACTTATAATTGAATAAGTAAATATACTTTCATGGAAAGAAGACTTTTTAAAGAAAACTTAACTTGGGGGCCGGCCTGGTGGCGCACTGCTACAGTGTGCCGCTTGGGAGCGCGGTGGCGCTCCTGC